TCATGAACCGTGAGATCATGACCTGAGGCGAAGTCAGACGCTTAACCGACTGAGCCACCCAGGCGCCCCACCATTAGACGTTTTCTAATTTCAAGTTTTTTAATGCAGTTTGAGAAACGGGTATCCAGATGAGCACATGAGAAACGCCATACAGCTGTTCACAGCCACCCAGAGTGGCCCCTGCAGGTCTGTGTTCCTTCCTGTGACACATACATATGCGCTGACACCCACACGTGCACGCGGGTGTCCATGCGTGTGGGAGCGCAGCATCACGTGCATGGTGAGCACACGTTATGCACACTGGTGCACGCGCACACGCGTGTACACCGTGCCACACGTGCACCCACACGTTCCACGCACGCACGAGTGCATCCGCCGCACACACGTGTACACAGCGCACACCGCCTCTCACACGTGCTTACTGCACACGTGCACGCGTACGCACACACGCCCTTCCACGGCACGCGCGCCCGGGGCTAGGGCCCTTCGGGAGAGAGAGGAGGGGAGCGTCGGGTTTAAATCTCCAAGCCCCTAGCGAGCAGCGGCCGGCTCCGGGCCTCGAACCTGAGACCCACGAACTGCGCGCAGCGCTCACGGAGCATGCGCGAAGTCGCGCAGAACGGACTCCGGGCATGCGCAGACCGCGCCCCGAGCGCCCCGCCCTCCCAACACCCACAGTTCCAAGCGCACGGCCGTGTCCGGAAGTCCGTGGAGCGGATCTTCGTTCCTCGTCCTCTGATTCGCTTCAAACCACTTCCATTTCCGCAGGAAGTGCCGAGTCTCTGGCCCACAGTCCGCGGGGCGCGTCGCTTAGGAAATGAGCGCCGGCCCTGTTTTGTTTCCGGGGGAATCTGGTTTTCTGGAGGACGCTCGGGACTTCCGCGCGTCCCTCCCAGCCTCTGATTGGCTGGTTTCATGAATATATTAGGGAAGGGGGAGGCAAGTTTTTCCACGCGCGGCAGCGCCTGTGGGGATTTGAGCGGCAAGGTGTGAACACTGGTGGCTCCGCGATGAGGGCAGGCGCCTCCGCCGGCGTGTCTGCGCGGGGCGCGCCGCGTCGAGTCGCCCTGAGCGAAAGGTGGCCTAGGCAGAGGCCTTTAAATGCCGCGCGGACAGGGGTAGAGTCGTGTTGTATGAAAGGAGAGAAGGTTAGCACTCCCCTTGACAAGGATGGAAGAGGCCCTCGGGCCTGACAACACGCATACGGTTAAGGCATTGCCACCTACTTCGTGGCATCTAACCAACGTTTTTTGGGGGAGACCTGGGGCGGGGGCTCCTCCGCAGGGTGCCGGGGCCGCAGCGCCCAAGACTTTGCTCTCCCCTAGCGTGTACTGTGCTCCCTGCGGCACCCCCGCCACCGTCCGCGGGTCGGTGTCGCCCAGTACCCCCCGCCCTAGGCCGTCCTGAGCCCCTGCCCGCCAACCTGCCGGCGGAGCGCTCCGTTATCAGGACAAGGGGTGTGACCCTGACTTAGGCCGCCTCGAAGCTTCGCGCCGCGTCGGCGCGCCTCTGGTCCACAGAGACCCGCACCTGCCCCGAGGGCCGTTACCCCGTTTGCCAGTCTTGAATCCCCCCGCACACTGATCTCGGCATCCTGGCTCCTGGGCAGGTGTGCCGAGCTCTCTGCACCGCCCGTGACGTCCCACCGCTTTCCTCGCCGAGGGAAGTAAGTAAATCCTTTGGCAAGTGTGCATTTCATTTGTAGGAGTCGAGCTGTTTCTATCCCCACCACAGGTCGGGCTGGGTGTGAAGCTTGGGGTCTCCTCCTGGGGTCTCAGCAGCCCCCCGCTGTACCTCTCTCCCTTGCGTGGGCCGTGACGCAGCAGTGGACGGCACCACGGGCCGGCCCTTCGGCGACGGTGCCCGCCTTCCCTCTGCAGAATCCGGTCCCGGGCCGCTGCGAGCCCTTCCTGAGCCCCCCCACCCGCAGTCACGCACGTGCGGGGCGAAGGCATCGCAGGACGTACCGCGACGTCGTGCACACGCTTTGGGAGAACTTAGATTCCCAGGGACGGAAATCCCCAGAAAGGCCACCTGAAGTGTAGAGAGGGCGTTCCCCCTTCATGTCCAGGGCACAAAGTGCTCTGTAAGCTCCACGGTGCAGGGCTCGCATAACGACCCAGGAACGTGTTTATCGACTTAAATAAAACCAACCCGACCCACAATTCCACTGCTAACACTGCAAAGAGGGGCGCCTGGGGGGCTCCGTCGGTTAAGCGTCTGATTTGGGCTCATGCTCTCACGGTTCATGGATTGGAGGCCCGCATCGGTCTCTGTGCTGACAGCTCAGAGCCTGGAGCCTGCTTCGGATTCAGTTCTGCTTTGGGTTCCCTCTCTCTCTGCCCCTCCCCCGCTCATGGGCGCGTGCATTCTCTCTCTCTCTCCCTCCCTCCCAAATAAATATTTTTTAAAGATGCAAACAGCACCATCCAGCTCGCATTACCTACCAACAGTGGGGGGAAATGGTCAGCCTCCGCTCTCAGGGCACCGGAGTCAGAAGCTGCAAACGCGGACCCGGGAGCCCATAGGACACATGACTGTTTCCAGGTCCGAGGTGACGAGCAAGCAGCAGCCTTCAACCAACCAGGGCAGGCGGGGTCTTGCTGGGGCCCTGGTTCACACCAGCCAGCCGTGGAGCACGTGTTCGCGGGCCCGAGCGCCCTGCCCTCCCAACACCCACAGTTCCATGCGCAGGACATGCACACAAGTGTGTGAACACGTGCGTGCCACATGCGTGCGAACGTGTATTTGTGCACCTGTACACACGAATCTGCATGCGCGTGAGCATGTGCGTGTGCGGCACGCGTGTGGACACGTGTGCACACCTGTACACATGAAGCGCATGTGTGCGCATGTTCGGGTGCGCCTACATACACGTGAACGTGCACACACGTGTGTACGTACACGCTGAGCTTTTGAGACAAGCGTGGAAAGCTGGACACCCGATACTTAAGAATTCGCATTTGAGGGGCGCCTGGGCGGCTCCGTGAAGCATCCAGCTCTGGGTTTCAGCTCAGGGTCGTGATCTCAGTTCACGGGCTCAAGCTCCGCGTCGGGCTGGGCTGGGTGCTGGCAGCGCAGAGCCGGCTTAGGGTTCTCTCTTCCTCTCTGCCCCTCACGTGCTCACGCACGCACCCTCTTTTACGTGTGAAAAGGGTTCTGAGCCAAAGCTTCTGGAGAATTCCCTTTTACAGACACTGATTCACTGCCTAAGTCACCAAATGTCCGGGATTAATAAAACCACTCGGGAGGGACACAGGAAACGAGACGTGTCAAAAGCTGGAGTTGAACGGCCCAGGCTGGCGCAGCTGGAGGAGGAGGATTTGACGCTTGATCTTGGGGTCGTGAGTTCAAGCCCCATGTTGGGCGTAGAGCTTGCTTCAAAAAAGAAAGTTGAAAAGATAAAGCCAGGAAGACGTTCTCTACATTTACACGTGCCTGAAATGATCCCCAACAAAGTCTTACTTTTAATGAACATACCAGAAGATAATCCCCCAAAGCGTTAGTGGTAGCAGCAATCCGGGTGGTTTATTTTCTTCTCCTATTTGTTTTACACTGTCCGTAACGAGCACAAATGGTTAACTTTTTTTTTTTTTTAATTTTTTTGTAATGTTT